GTGGGACCTTGGTCCCCGCAGGTGGCCAGCACAGGCGAGAGCCCTCGGTCTAGTTCAGAGACCGGATGTCATGAGGGGTGTTGTATACCTGGCGTAGCGCCTGGCCCCGAGCGTGTGCTCCGCACACGGGCACGGAAGACGGGTCCGTCCTGGGCCCCCAGGGCCGCTCTAGGGACCAGTCCCTGTGAGCTCACTGTCTCTTGATGCTCCCAGAGCGGCCCCTGGACTGACAGGCATGCCTGGGTCGCGGCAGAAGAGACAAGGGCTGGCCTGGTGGTGGCATCTCGGCCTCTTTGTGCAGTGTGGGATCCACGGAGGCTCCTCTTGCTGTCCCCTCCCCATCTCGGGGCTGTGGCTGGAGGGGGCCCGAGGCGCAGGGGCAGCAGGAGTGACCTGGGGCTGCTCTGTCTGTGCCAGGCGTCCTGGAGGAAGCAGAGTTCTACAACATCGGTCCACTGATCCGCATCATCAAAGACCGGATGGAGGAGAAGGACTACGCAGTCACTCAGGTTGGAAGGTCGCAGGGGCGGGGGGCAGAGGGGGAGCCTGGACAAGGGCAGGGGAGGGAAGGAGGCAGGACAAGGTTGGGAGAGCAGGACGAGGGTGCTCCTTGGGGAGACTGGGCTGGCCTGTAAGGGGAGGAACGGGCGGCAGGTTCCCGGATATCCAGCATAGCTTGGACGGGATGGACACTAGGGGCTCTCCCCACCTTGTTCCGTTTGCTGTGTAGCCTTGAGCCAGTCATGCCCCTCTCTGGACCTTAGTTTCTTCTGAGGTGCTGAGAGCTGCCCACCCATCCCTTCCTCACAGGCAAGATGGGGTCAGTGTGGAGGTACCGGGCCCTGCGGGGCCTCTACAGAGTTAGTACCTTGGCCCCTTGCTGGGGTCCAGTGCTCCCTGGTGGCACAGCAGTGCTGGGGTCGGCATGCCTATCAGTCTAGGTGCTGCTCTGGGGGCGTCAAGAGACAGTGAGCTCACAGGGACTGATCTCTAGAGTGGCCCTGGGGGCCCAGGACTGACCCCTGGGCCACAGTATCGAGTTTGCAGTAGGAAACAGAAAGATTCCCTCCTCTCCCTGGAGAAGACGGCGGGGTGGGGGTGGGGGGGTGGGAGGCGGTTAGGGGACACCACTTCCCAGCCCAAGGAGGGCCTGCCCCTTAGTGACCTGAAATGTCCCCCAGGCCCCTCCCTCCCCTTTAAGTAGCCTGTGTCCCGGTTCCGGCCCTGTCTAAGCAGGGTGACCTTAGGCGAGTAACAGCTTCTGTGCACCTCAGTGACAGATCCCACAGTGCAGTTCCTGCGGGGACTAAGTGAGACCGCATGTGGAGAGCCTGCACAGGCTGGTGCCCAGGACACAGCTCCCTCCCCTCCACCTTCCAGGGAAGTGTGGGTGGGGGCGGTGGCAGGTGCTCACCTCCCTCCTAGGGTGCTTCCCACGGTGCCTCCCATGCGCCCCCTCTGCCCACAGGTCCCGCCCAAGCATGTGTACCGTGTGCTGCAGTGCCAGGAGGAGGAGCTGACGCAGATGGTCTCCACCATGTCTGATGGCTGGCGCTTCGAGCAGGTGGGTTGGGGGCTCAGGACACCTCTCAGCCTCTCGGCAAGGCAGGCCCTTCCACTCCTGCAGCCTGGTCTTGGGTTCCCCACCACACCCCAACCTGGGAGTCCCTTTAAGTCACATTGATGAGGAAAGGCCACTTCTCACAGCAGAGTGGCCAAGGAGGGGATGCAGGGCCACGCGGGGCACCTTTGCTGGTGGGAGTCCTCTCACCACTGGTAGGCTGCACGGTGGCCTGAGCGGGTCTCTGGCACCCAGGTAGCAGGTCAGGTGCAAGCACATGAAATCCACATAGGTGAGTGCCCTCTGCCCGAGTAGCCCTCCTGCTGACCGTCTCACAGACAGCTATGGGGTTCCCTCAAGGCATGTGCCCAGGTACAAGGGGCCACATCCGGGGACGCCCAGAGCAGCGGCTTCCCGTGAGGTATCTGTGACCTGTGCTTCCCTGTCTGGTGAAGAATGTACAGATTTGTTTTAACTCAAGGTCAGGTGTGCCCTCGATAAGAAGGGTATCCACACCCACCCCCAGCTCCCTTGCATGTAGAGACTGAGGAAGGGAGAAGGCCTGGGTGCCCTGAACATCTGGCAGCATGGAAAAGTAGCCCAGCCCAGGCGCCAGAGGCCTGCATGCACCTCTAGGCCTCCCACTGGCAAATTAACCGCTTTGGGCAAGTCCCATCTCCTCCCTGGGCCTCAGTTTCCTCATCTGCAATGAGGGCTGACAGCACCTGCTTTGCAGGACTGTTGGGAACATTCCAAGGGGCATCAATAAAGTCCCTAGTCGTGCGGAGGACTCCATGCATTGACACTAGCGTCACACCAGTTATTAGAAATATTGAAGTCAACCAGCATGCTGGGAGGTCTCCAGTCCCACATTCTAATCCCTTCCATCTCTCCCAGCCGCGAAACCCCCAGTGGCCACCCCCCCTCCTTGCCTCTTTGGGTGTTGTGTGGTTAGAGGGTAGGATTTCTTTTT